AAGCAAAGCATTCAAAGTATAAGCATTGGGATGAAGACCCTGTTTAAGGATAGTTGCTAAAACGGAGAAACCCAAGTCCACCCGATTCATACGGCACAAGCAATTGATAACAACACTCAGTGTACCGACTTCCGGGTGTAAGCCAACACAAGCCAGCATTTGTTTATACATAGAAACTACAGCGGAACATTGATTCATCTTGGAGACTGCCCCAAGCAAATGATTAATAGCCCAAATCGAGGGAATGGGTTTCATTTGAATTACGGAATCGAAGTGACCCAGTGCTTCATCTAACCCAAGATTACCAGATTTACAACGCGTTTGTACCAAATCCTCCAAATCAATGGTTTCCTTAACACTAACAGTATGACAACGATTGACAGCAAAAGAGCAAAACTGGCTTCTGAAAAAGACGAGCCCAAACAGAGAATAGAGAGAAGAAGGATTACCCTTTCGGAGAAGCGTGAACCCTGGAGCTCTTTTCGCGATAATTTTCGTCATCATCGACCAGCTCCTAAGGCAGAGCAAACAATTCACGATTTTTTTGGTCGAAATGAATGAAATTTGTTTGCCAAAAAACTAACAAAAAGAAGAACAAGGGCTGAAACATAACAAAATAAAACAAAACCCAAAATACCAAAATAGGAGGCCCAAAACAACAAAAGCCCACAAAATACATAAAACCCAACACCTAACCCTAAACAAAACAAGTCGCCGTCACCACCACAAGAAAAATTGCCGCCGCCACAAGAAGAGTAAGTGAGAGGGTTTAGTTGCTTCAATTTTAGGGAAGATGGATTGTTGTCATACCATGCATTTATCTATATATATAAAACAAAAGGTAGAGAATGGTGAAACATTCAATATACCAGAAAATGTATTTGATTAATCCAAACATTAAGAATTAAAATTATTAATTAAATGAGGATAATATAATAAATTCACACTTTTTCATATTAAAAAAAATTAAAATTAAAAGACAAATCATATAATGAATTCTATTTTTATGGAACACAACTATTTATTATCTTTTTTAATTCTAAAATAAATTTCATTTAAAAAAAAAAGTCTCTCGCAAAGAAAAAAAGAGTCGTGCTGTGCTACCACGGGAAAAGGGTGAAGAACGGTCTAACCCACGAACAACGGTTGCCTAGAAAAGAACTGAAGAACGCAGAGACAAATTAAAAAACAAATTTAAAAACCAACTCAAATCCGCTGCAGTTCATGTCAGTTTTAATACTCCCCACACGACCCAACATCCTCATGCCATTACACAGCAGTTCCTTTCAGTTTTTTTGCTTCAATGAATCTTTTTTCTGCAGAGCATCAAGATGTCAGGGTACGAATCTCTCTCTCTCTCTCTCTCTCTCATTCTTGGTTCCTGATGGAATTTTTGCTTCAATTTCTGCTCTTTGTTTAATTTTTTTTTCATGCGAAGCATCAATGTAGAAAGCATTTAGGTTTGATATGTTTACTATCTCTAATTTTTTATTATATTTGCTCTTTCTCCAGAGCACCAATGAAGAGCATTTAGATTTGATGGGTTTGATGTGAATGGTATGAATCTCTCTCTCTCTCTATTTGATTTTGATTTTTAATTCTTTTCCCTTCTCCTCAAGTTTAACTGCATTGCATTGATGTCTCTCTTTATCTTTAAAACATGGCCTTGCGGTTTAATTTGATTATGCTAACACTAATTCATTCATCCATTCATGCCCTCCGTCTTCTTCCACACAATGAATTCCTCCACCTCTGTTGAAGTTTATCTCTTTTCTTTTGTAAGAAGAAGCAGGGGAAGACTTCCATATCTTAGAGTACCTACAAGATATTTATTATTATTATTCTTTTTCAATTTTTCGATTTAATTAGTTTAATTCCTCCTTTGTATGCATCTAAGTGTGTTTTATGGGATTTGCTGCGTACTGTGTTGTTGGCAAACAGATATCTATTGCATTTTTAGAAAGGATGAAAGCTGACTTTAGAAAAAGATATGGGGTGGGTCATTTGCTGGAGGAGAAAGCAGCGCAATAGAGACTCAAAACAGAGAGAAGGGTGGGGAAGCATCAGGAATAAGGAATAAGGAATAAGGAATAAGAAAAGAAAAGAAAAGCACACGTTAGACTTGGAGTTCTATTTCCACATAACTGCTGCTATTTCCTCATAACTTTTGCAGTTCCAAATTTGAACTGCATAATCAAAACTTCTTCGCCAATCTTCACAAATGAGTTCTTCATTATATTTTTTATCTTCCATTTTTTCTGTTCTTTATAGCTGTTTCCATTTCTTCTCGTATTTTGTTCTAACTTATTGGAGTTGGGGGTCTAGAATCCCCCTTTTGGCAAAGCATCAGGTAAGAATCTTCTCTCTCGAAACTGCTCTAATTTTTGTTCCAAATACAATTCTAGAGACGTGGTAGTGGTTGCAACTGAGGTGATCTATTTTGTTTGGTTCAGTTAATGCTGTAGATTATGCGCAGGTAAGACTTTGGCGTTTGAGGTATACAAGCTATTAGCTGAATGAAACACTTTGGCCTTTGGTTTCTTTCACTTTGTGGTTGTGGAGTAGCCGACTATTGGTGGATATGTTTCTCTTTCAGTCTCCTTGATGTCGAACTAGACACTTTGTGTGGGACAAATGAAGAAGGTACCCGGTTTTCCAATTCTTTTGATGTGGCAAACGAAAGCACTATGTATGGTTATGTTGATTTCTCCTAGAGGATCAGAAGGTTCTTAAACATTGAATCAGAAGCAGCATTAAGGAAGAATATGAAAATTGTAGATCAATTTGTTTATAAATTAATCAAAGACAAGATTGAAACAACTCATAATTCAGAAGATAAGCTACGAGCTGTGCGTTACCTTCTAGGTCATGTTTGTCTTGGATTGAATTAATTTCATGTTATTATTGATTAAAATAATTGAATATACAGTTGAAGAAAGTAGACATTGTTTAAAGGCTTTTGGCATTGGAAGAGACTGATCCAAAGTACTTGCGAGACATGGTCCTCAGCCTCATTGCAGACGGAAAAGATACAACGGCTAGCACTCTTACATGGTTTATTATATGCTCTGCAAGCATCTTCATATACAAGAAAAGATTTTACAGGAAGTTAGAGAAGCAACAAATCTGAAAGATAATTCAAGCATTGATGAGCTTTCAGACAACCTTACTGAAGAGACCCTTGAGAAAATGCAATATCTCCTTGCAGTTTTGAATGAGACAACCAGGCTGTACCCTGCTCTTCCACTGGTACTTCTAATTCAAACACAATTGCAAGGCTAACCTGATATAAACAACACTGTCTGCTGACCTTTCTGAATTTGAATCTTTAGAATTACTTTTAACAAGTTTGTTTGATGCTGTCGTAGAATGGGAAGGTTTGTTTTTCTAATGATACCTGGCCAAATGGATTTAGTGTCAAAACAGGTGATGTGGTGGCATACCATGCTTACGGCATGGGCAGGCTGAAATATATATATATATATATATATATATGGGTGATGATGCAAAAGAATTTCAGCCAGAGAGATGGCTTGATGAAAATGGTCTTTTCCAACAGGAAAGCCCTTTCAAATTCACAGCCTTCAGTGTAAGAAATAAATTAATGTTTATATGATCAGTAACAAATGCCACATTTTATTAAAACATGCACAAAGGGTAAGTAGACTTATAAATTATGGGGAATTCTAAATAAATTTGTTGATTTAAACAGGCGGGTCCAAGGATTTGTGTGGGGGAAGGACTTTGCTTATAAGAAGAAGGGTAACATTGTCTTTTCAGTTATTATTTTAAGCTGACTCAACGAATCTGCGCCTCCTTTTTGGCCTAATTCAAAGTAATAATTCTTTTCTAAGTATTAAAAATCCAAACAAAAATACATAATGTCTCAAATACTAATTAGTAAAGTTACTTATAAGACTCAATTGGCACAGGAATCAGGCGTACCAAGTGACTAGTCTAAATGGAAAAAAGAAAAAAAAACAACATTTATTACAAACATCTTAAAACACTTATTACAGAAAATGACAGAGAATTCCAACCAAAGAGAGATGAAGTGAAAACAGAATTCCACGATTCATATGAAAGGCCGCTACAAGACAGGCAGCCCTTTCTATCTGATAGAAAAGGATCCCATGATCCTGAACCGATTTTTCGTAATAGGACATGTGTTATTTTTGGTAAGAAGTAAGCCACGTGTTGGCCTTTGAAAAATAAAATCAGCATGAGAATAATTAGTAAAATAAAAATACGCTCGTCTTTTAATTAGAAAGAGGCGACCACTACCTTTCCTCAAAAGCCAAAAACCGACAAAGCAAACATGCAATCACTTTCGTTTGTTTGTTAAATTGTTTTGTTGTATTTTTCTTTCCTTTTTTTTTTAAGTACAAAAGGTAATCTAAAATTATAGGAAATGAGGTTTCTCACTCACATTACCAAGGCACAATGGGGTTTGACTTTGCTTGTTTACAAGTTAATGGCTTTTTTCAATATGGGTTAGACTCGGTTGGTATTTTTATTTTTGTTTTGAAATAATGAAAATAAAATAATTAAATGCAAAATATTTAAATACAATATAAAATTGACAAACCTTGTATGAAAGGAGGCGGCCAACCATGCTTCACTCCAAAACTTGATCCTTTAATTTCGGCATTGATTTCTCATTTTATTCGGCAACGAAGTACTGTTGAGAGCGACATGTGTTTCGAACCTTTTTTAGTTTATTGGCCTTAATAATACATGCATTGCACCAAGATGTATAGAAAGCTTAGAGACATTAATCTAAGCCCATCAACCAGTAAGGTTGGGACAACAAAACCACCGAGGAGTGGACTGTAATGGTGACTAATGTGATGGGTTTAGTGGCAAAGATGATAATGTTTGTTGCTCAACCCAATGACTGAAATATGTTTGGCAAACCGGTGTACAGAGTAAACTATTGACTTCAATGTCCATACAGCTAGGAAGTAGCTTACATGATGATTC